TCTATCTATCTATCTATCTATCTATCTATCTATCTATCTACCTACCTACCTACCTACCTACCTACCTACCTACTTTATATAGTCGCCCATCTCACAGACTTAACTCTGGGCGGTGTACAATAAAACAATCTGTTAAAACAAATATAAAACAATAATTTAACAATTGTTAAGTTAAACAATTTAAACACAAATATAAATATGACCATGGGAGAAAGGACCAGCATCTTACATACAGTGTAACCACCTCACAGGCTCCCTATTTCCCTGGGATCCTTAAGCCTGTTGAAAGAACCATGAATTTATTTTTACCTATAATGGTTTGTTTTTAATTTGTGTTGGAAATGCCTTTCCAAAGCTACAGTTTTAACCCAACCACTGAGTGGAAAATATAAAGGAACTTCGAGTTGAAATTATGTAGTTATATCCCATCAGTGTGATCCCACAGTATGATCCCATCAGTATGATCACAACTAAAATACATTAAGTTGAGCTCTCCAAATAAATAGTTACTACAAAACTTCCACTCATCCTATGCAAGCTCAGTTATCTTAATATGGATATGTTAAAGAACAAGCATTTGAAAATCTACAGGTAAGGATGTAGCACATGGATATGTCTATGAAAATAAGCCCAGGTTAACAGAGTGAAACCCATTTCTGAGTAAAAATAAACAGAACTAGGCTGGATATCACTTTAGCGGGCTTTCACTTGAGGCAGACCTGTAAGAATTATGACTGCCTAATATTACTAACTAGAGCCTCCACTAACCCTAGTTCTTTTAGAACTTTAAATACTATTGTTTATTAAACAAGATTCTGAAATCTGGAAGTCAACTACAATCAATTCAAGTCAATATTATTCTCATTATTATTAATTTGGATACTATCTTCTTTCGTATAGTGATATATCCCAAATAAAACATGCTAATTTGCACCTTGCCTACAATTCTGATATTTTGTTTAAAGTGTTAACAGCTCCTCAGAGACAATTACTATTTCCTAAGACTACAATTACTATAAAATAATGTTACAGAATTATAGAAACATGGGAGGATAATGGAACTGATGGGCTGTTTGTCAAATGTGCTCATGACAAAAATGGTGTGGGAAACATCCAGGATGATAGAATGAGACCGTGGACAGATTGGAAGACTGCGCTCAGAGGAACAGGTTATCCTTCAATAGGAAGAATTGCAAAGTATTATTATTATTTTATTAAATTCATTTAAATTATTTAATAAATGTATTTATGTTAATTACATTTAAGGAAGAAAAATGTCAGGGATTCATGACTTGAAAGCACTGAAAATTTATTTGGTGTGGTCACTGAGAGCAAGCTGAATATGAGCCAGCAGCTAAGACAGCTGCTGGATGGGCTACTGCAGTTCTGTGACACCTTAGAAGTAGCACTGTCAAAGGCATGGGAAGTCCTTATTCCTCTCTTGGCACAAAACAGCCGACAATTCAGACAACTCCTTCCCTACCTCATAAGACCATCTCCAAACCAAAAACGTGTGTACAAGAGATAGTAACCCCCTTACCTTTAAATATAATATGTCCCCCATCTCCGCCATCTCCACCACTGGGACCTCCAAATTCTTTTCTAGGTTCACTGAGAAAACAGGCAATACCATCTCCTCCTTTCCCTCCTATCACATGTACCTTTCGATGATCGACAAAATATCGACTCTGAAATTTGGAGAAGCGTTATTCAGAGAAACTAATTATTTGTGAAGCTTAAAGTTTCCAAAGCCTTCAGTTCTAAACATACTAATTTCTGTTCAGTTCTAGGAGAAACATGTAGGTTTCATTTCGGGGACTGACCTGATGAATATTGCCACCTAGCTTTTTTATTGAGTGAAAATACTTAAGGTCATAGAAGTGGAGAGAAACCTACTACGGTGGCCCGCAATCCAGAGATAGTTTGGTCTTTTTCCTGAATTCTACCAATTAAGAATAAGAATAGAAGCAAGAATAAAAGTATGAAAGCTGCTACCACCTTCCATTTTCCTGAATTCCTAAGTACAGCTTGCTTTTTTCCCCTGTACAATGCCCCTGGGAACAATCCTCACTTTCCTCATAAAGGTTGTGCCCAGCCTTATTTTTAAGGCACAGCAATTGGGCTGTATACAAACTCAAGCCGACTTGTCTTTTAAAGGAACACAAAATCATTTAAAAGGGGACACAGTGATCCCAAATAAGGATGATTCCCTCCCCCAATCATATAATATTGCATATTACTATTCAGTACTAAACATTCCTCAATCATCCATCCCTACCTTTAGGTTCATTCTCCACCCAATGTTGAGAAATTTAGTGAAGCTGAAATGTTGGCGTTAATCTCAGGTTCAATACCTGACATCTCCAGAAAAGAACTCCCTAAAACTAACCCTGACCATTCAAAAGAACAGTAAACAAAAATGCCCAACATATTATCTCTCCTAGAAAAAAAGAAACATTAGCAATCCCCAAAACAACTTTGTTGAAAAAACAGTTACAATAAAGACACCCAGTTTGTTCCTGATTTCATTTGCAGCCCTTCTACCTTGCTACAATATAAGAAAAAATCATTTCTGAGGTTCTTTGCTCCTTCTTTTTTTTTTTAAAAAAAAGCTGAGCCAGCTCAGTGTTTGTTACATGACAATTAGACAAAAAAGCTGCTGAAAAATTCTTTTGGATTTTTAAAAGAATGCTGGCTTATCACAAGAACAAAATACAGAAGGCCAGCTATATGCTTAACTGTGATATTTTCTAAGAAATATCTTAAATATATCTTTTCTCAAGTTTGCATAGCATCACCAAGTGGTTAAACTGAAATTTTCTACAGTATTACCTACAGAGAACACAAGAAATACCTCTTTTGTGTGCATGCTGTTGCCAAAAGGATTTATAAAATCAACAATCTGAAATCTCTCACATAAACAGAAATTCACTAAAAGACCTCCTGAGAAAGAAGGGATTTATTTAATAATAATTTCCATAACCTCAGGACTCAGAAGAGATGTCTACGTTTACTGTAAGGAGGAGCCTAGTAGCACCTTTTTTGACTAACAAATTTTATTAAAAGCCATAAGCTTTGTGTCTGAGTTGCAGCTCACAAAAGCATGTTTTTTAATAAAATATGTTAGTTGGAAAAGGTGCTACTGGACTTCTGATTTTTGGCTACCACAGACTAACACAGCTCTCCTATGATATTCCAAATTAAACAAAGATTGTGAGACAGTTATTTATTAGTGGATCTGATAAACCAATTATACATTCCAGCAACCAGAAGGAAATTAGCACCAATAAAATGTAAGAATGAAAGTCTGATACTGATTTTTTACATTTCATTTTTTTATATTGGAATTCAAAAGCCAGGATATTATAGAACACTGTCAAGAGATGTTAACTGAATGCCAGATAGAGCATTTAGGCCAGTCACCATTACCTATCTATTCTTTCATTATATTGCTGCAAGATTAAAAGGAAGAAGAGAACAATTTATGTTACTCTGAGTTCCAAAAAAAGGATAGGATGGAAATTCAACAAATAATATATAATTTAACACTAACCATTTTTATTCAAAGCAAAGTCCCAAATTCAGTAAAATGTATTTATGCATGTGTAGAATTGAAGCGTTAAGTCTATCTATACAGTTCTACAATTTAAACACAGGGAAATATTTGCATGCAACAAAGATATTGAAAAAACAATTATCTAAATGTCTAAAACTTAATTCTATTATTTCTGTATTTTTCATAAATTTGTGCTTTCAGGAAGAGGAAATAAGAGACTCTAAAAAAAGTCTTGCAAAGACATACAGTTTACATATTATTTGCAATTAATCTGAACATTTGTTTACTTTACCAGCTTCTTCTCAGATATATTTGCTTTACAGCTTCTCCGCTGAGACTTTGAATGTTTTGTGTTGGTTATGCTTAGGCTCCTGTGCCAGTTTTTAACTTGCTTTTGCAGTAAGCAACTATGTATTTGGGAATAAGCTGGCCTCCACTGACTTTCCAACCAAGCTCTGACCATTATTTGTAGCATATTTGCCTAGGAGAAAAAGAAAGGAAAAAAAAGATGGGGCAGACAGTAACTAAGATATGCTAAAGAGCATACATATTCAGAGCACGAGTAACACAAAAATGAGCAGTTACTTTTTAGAAAGATCAGCTGCTCCCATTTTTGATTTTCAGTGGCTGCAAAAGGATTAGAAAACATTTCAAAATGGCATTCTCAGAAATATTAATGTTGTTCTTGCGGAAGTTCACAGAAAAGGAAAAAAAAACCAGGCCTGCTATTCTAGTGTAAAATACATTTTTTAAAAAATCCTTCTCATCTAGCTCAACAAGTGTGTAGGATCAAATTTATGCTGGGCACAGTTAAGTCTTACAAAAGTGGCAAAATGCTGCTCCAGTATTGTTACTTCTGCGTGGGACCAAGCAACAGAAGCAGCAATGGAAAAATGAAGATATGGCAGATTTGACTTGAAGTTCGTTGGTTCGAAAGGAGAGAAGCAGGTTTATTCCTCACTTTGTGGTACGGGTCAAGCGAATCCCTTTTCCTTCTCTCATTCACGTGTATACTATTACTAGGTAGCAGGGCTCTTGGTTCCTTAGACAGATTATTTCAGCCATATTTACAGCCCTACAAGGTATGCTGGTGTTTCTCAACCTCAGCAACTTTTAAGACGTGTGGACTGCAACTCCCAGAATTCCCCAGACAGCCTTCCTGGGAATTCTGGGAGTTGAAGTCCACACGTCTTCAAATCGCTGAGGCTGAGAAACCCTGAAGTAGGCCAACGTTACTATGGTCAATACGGGGAGTCTGCAATTACGGAAGAGTCTGCCTCTAAATTACGAAATGGGGGATTAGGCGAGGCAGAGGGGGAAGTACGTGTCTGACACCTCCTCACCTCCACACGCGCTGCCTCGTCTCCCACCGCCTGGGATCCCCGGTCGCCCAAAACGAAGATTGGGAACCTGCCCCCGCACCCCTCCCTTGGCTTACGAGAGCTCCTCTGCCTTCAGCGCCTCAGTTTGTTCCCCGCTCCCCCCTCCATAAGACAAGGGGGAGTGACATGAGACTGTCATCGTAGGAAGCCTCCCTCGCCTCATTCACACTCAGCGCTTTCCTGAGGCGCCTTCTTGCCCACCCCACGGCTCGGAGTCGCGCGCCCTGACGTAAAAGTCGCGCGCCGAAGAGACAGCGGCCCAGAAAGAGAGTCGGAGGGGCGTCCTTAGCGGCGCGGATGTTCCTGCGCAGGCGCAGCCCCAAAGCGCTCGAGGGAGAGGGGAAGTTCTGGAGTCGGTATTGCGCGTGCGCAGGCGCGGCAGTCGGCCAAAGGTTTCAAACGTCGCGCGAGGCTACCTTTCCCCTTCTCTTCCCCCGCCTCTCTGGGGGAATGGGATTGGAGGGAAAAAAGCAGGCGCGGCGTTGTGAGTGGCTGAGAAGACATCGGGGGTGGGACTAGCAGAAGTGAGGAGGAGCTTTTTCAAGGCGGAGGCCGGTTACTTTGTTTCCGGAAAGGGAGCTGCGCAGAAGTAGGTAGATCTTGGTAGCCGCGGAAACACTACGCATTTCCCATGAATTACGTACATTTTTTTTTTTTTTTTTTTTTTTTGGTGAATGAATAGCTTTCGATACTGAAGCTAAATGGCAGGCCGTCGAGACTTGGTTGCTAGAAAGCTATTACTTGGATGGGAGACCACCAGGAAATCCCAAGGCTGTAGGAAGTCAATAAATACCAGGAAAAAAGCAGTGGCAAACCACTGACTTCCTTGCAATGGAGTGCCTTGCAGATATTTTGACCAATTCCCAGAATTCCCACAATGCGTCCACAAACTAGCCAGTTAGGTGAATCCCACCAATGTTACTTTACTGTTCAGGGGCTCCCTTTGGACTACATGCTAACCTGTGGTTAAGTGAGATGTACTGAATTCAACCTAATTTATTGCACTAATCATACTTGCTGGATCTGCACAAAGACACAGAGCAACATGTAACCAAAGTTAGTTGGCCGGGGATTCACACAACATAGCAAGCACCCATTTCACTCATTTGGGATTTGCAAATTGTATGGACTCTGCCAGTGTTGCTTATCAGCCCCATGGCTTAGTTTGTTATCTGATCAGAGTTTGGTAAACCATTAGAAAACAAACCATGGCTTAGGTGGTTGTACAAACACACCGATATATTTACGCAAGGTGTATTGGTGAAGGCAAGAAAAGACAGCTGAAAGCCGGGTGGGATAGAGATCTTGCATTTCAACAACCTGGCTGTGGTGGATCTGCCAGGAGTGGGAATCGTAGGCCGAATAAAGAACCGAAGAGAGAAATCTTTATCATTTCACTTTACTCAGCACTTAGGGCTGATCCGCAATTGCCCCATGCGAGGACAGCCCATCAAAAATTTCTCGGGGGGGGGATGCACAGTCGTCCCCAAACTATCCCCAACCAACTGCAAAGGCAGTCTCCACCTTTTTTCTCTTGTTCCACATCAGAAATGCTGTTTTCCTACTTCCACTGGCCCATCTTCAGGAAACTGCTGGAGCGAAAAGTTGTGTTATTTATTGTTCCCGTATGGATGGCCAGGAATGCCCTTCGCTTCCCATTCAGTAACTCCATCAACTGGGTTGTATTTGAAAAAGATCGATTGCGCCCATATTGCGCCTCCAAGTTGGACTAAGTTAATCGATCTTTAAAAGAACAATTGTTCCAGTATTCTTGCCAGGATGATAGGATGCACAAGATGGTCAGTTTCTCAAGCCTACCACAGTACTGGTTATCAATCTACTTCCAGTTCTCCTAGCATGAATGTCTGCAATGACCAGGTGGTCTGTAGGAAAACAGATCTCTATGAATTTCAATTGATGATGAGAACCATGCATTCAGCCCCGTAATTAACTGTCACCAACTGGCAGGTGACAACGGTCATTATGGTTGTGGACTAGAATTCTGTTTTTTACTCTGCTTAAACCAGTGTTTTTCAGCCTTGGCAGCTTGAAGATGTGTGGACTTCAACTCCCAGAATTCCCCAGCCAGCATGCTGGCTGGGGAATTCTGG